AATTTTTGAAATGTTAATGAGAAGACATGACTAACCGAATTTTGTAGTGTTGAATGTGAGACAGTTATTTACTCTACGTGATGAGCGGTGGTTGTGTAATATCATCAATTGCTTAAAGTTAAACATGAACACTATTGAATGGTCTAAAGGCTTAACATTCACGCACGAGATCAAAGAATGTGAATTTGGCTTTCTGTAGGAAGATTGTGGATGCACACTATGGATTAGCCCAATATTAAGATTCAGAAGATGTTCAATGCATCCTGGTTTTTGGTGGTTGGCTAACTGGGATAAGTTCGTGATTTAACATTTCGCCTCGCGAAATTCGAACCCAGGACCTATCAGTCTCGTGTGCGATTGCTTAACCTCTAGACTACTGAGCTGGCCGGCATCCAACAGTGTTAATGTCTAACTTCAACTAATCCACGAATTTGAACGACACATTCACTATTGTCTTCAATGAGTTACTATCTCACAACATAACTCGAGGAAATATCTCTTGGAACCAGTCACTAGTAAGCATATGTCGATTAATATCAGAAGCGGTGTTTCTGTGGATATCATAGTAAAGTTAATAGTTGGGATCATGAGTTAATTGGAGGTTGACCATCATAGAAAATACATAAATGTCATATTACAAAGATAATATGCAGTTACATTATTCACTGAAAGAAATAAAAAGAATAAGAATGGTTAGTTCAGTGAAGTGTTCTCGTTTTCGATGAATTCATTTTCAAAGCTGTACACTTACAAACACATATACAAGATGTTTTGTTTTCTCACGATGATGATAATACTGATAATAAACTTCTATTATACATGGTGACAGTAAGATAGAAGAAACAAAGGTTGTTTTTTATAAATAGGGTCATCAATAATCGTTTGATTGTTAATGGCTTAAGTATTTATCAAAAGATAGATAGGGAAATTGACATTGGGAAAGGGTAGTTTAGCATGATAAGATAAAATGTAATCAGAAAGATCATTAAAAACAAAAACACAGAAATAAACCAGTTGGAGGTGTAAAAGATTAAAGGAGTAGATGGAAGGGAGAGCATATGGCTATAAAGGAAGAAGAGCATAAAGAAAAAAAATTTAAATAACATTAAGTCCATGATAGAATAAGAGGTTGTACCAATCTGTTTCGGATACACAATTCTGATTTCCCCATATGTATAGCTATTGCTTTGGCAATGCTAAGAAGATGCAATATAAATACCATTGAATGACTTTTACTTACCCTGTAGATGACTTTGAACGTAGAGTCTATCTTGATCGAGTGACTAGTATTCACAAGGTGTTCGATTATTGAACTTCTCATTGAACCGTTTCCTTCTCTTTTTTAAGCCATGTCGGACAATGTTCTTGAATTCTTTTGAATAAAGTACACATCGTATGACCTATATACTTAGCTTTATATGAGCAGAAGTTTATTATCATCCTGAGAAAGCAAAACATACGTATATATATATTTGCGATTGTACATCTTTGTAAATGAATTCGCTGAAAAGAGAACTCTTCACTGAACCAATCTTTCTTATTTCATGTCTTAATAGCTATATAACATTTAATTAAAAATAATTCTGATCATACAATACAGTATAAACAATTTACCATTAGATCAACAGGCTTATTGTTCCATTATTTCAAACATGTAGAGATCAAAAACTAATTTTTGTTGTTGTTCTTGTTGTTGTTGTCGTTGTTGTTGTTGCTGAGAATATCTGAAGAAATAAACGATATTCAAGATAGATTATGTAAAATCACTTATATTCTTTCATTCATTCATAATAACAGTGAGTTATCCAAATTAATCTGTTACATTAAAAGTATTATGTAAGATACATTGAAATAAAATATTTTAAAAACAGAAAAAAAAATCGAAAAACTTTATTGTGAACAGAATCACTTGTAGAATGGTTAGTTGAAAGACTCCTTCAGGTCGGTCATACACGACCTTTTTGTGAATAATTTTCGTGTTAACGCCGTAATTGTTGAAACCTTACCGTCGGAGACGGATATCCGTGAGATAAGGCGAGGTGTGCATTTTTAAGGTCGAGCTTTTTTGTAACACCACCCTCCTCGTGGGAAGGCAGTATTGCTGTTATGCTGATTGTCTGAAGGAAACACTTTACTGCCATCACACCTATGTACAATCATCAGTACGACTTCGCTTTTGGACCTAAGGTTAGCTGCTTTTAGTCTTACCGCTCTTCAACCGACCTGTCTGACATAGTAGGACCTTGATGAACTATTGTTCCAGCCAGTATAGCTCGGTTGCTTCATCACGATAGGCCAGCCCGACCATCATGTCATTATTAAATTGTTTATTATTATTGACTGCATACCTATTTTCTATGATTGTTATCGTTTGAAGATACTACATTAAGTATATAATATCATTTAATCGACTGCATAAAACAATATGAAATGGTGGAGAAGATTTGTAGTTCAAGTGGATGAATTTCGTAAAGTTTTGTTCTGTAAGCTGGATGGTTTGATCATGAAACTTTTATCTACCTGAAATTTATGCTGATGATGTCGTTCAAAAGAACGATGAAACCTCTACAATCAAACCATCTAGCTCAAAGAACAAAACTCTACTAAAAACAATATGAAATGCCCACACATAAAAAAAAACTAGGTAATTACAAAAAACCGAAAAAACTCAATACAAAGAAAGACAGAGTTCAATTTTTCAAGAATTTATGTTACCTTAGACACTTCTTATTTATACGCCATTTATTCATCACTAAATAATGGTTATTAGATGTTTTGAATTTCTCAATTACCATCATTGTTAGTCATTAGTCATTATATATTAAGATTATCATAAGTGGTTAACAAGTGTTATGAATGTATCAATTAAACTTTACAAGTTAAAGATGGATAGTAGCTATCAGTGGAATCTAGGATGCGCATTTCGTCCTGTTTGGATTGCACTAATAGCCACATTCCATCTTTGCTTATTAAAAACCATCGATTACTTTAATTAACTTGTAAGTATTTAAAGCATCATATTGTTGATGTTGAAGATCATCAGTGATCAATCTCCTTAGAGATACTTGAATCTTAAGGAGATTGTCTTGATATCGTCATTGAGTCATAATGATTTTTAGGTAAAGTTGATAGTGATTAGCAGTGAACTCTGGGACACATTTTGATAACTAGATTCGATAAGTAATTGAATAACGCATTGACTAGCTGAAACGCTCTGGCTGTTATTCGTGATGTAAATATCATCATTGGAATGCAGGTATATCGTCAGCTGGATGTACCTGTATCTCAGATTTGATGTTCACTCTTAGACGTGAACTCAGTACCTTTCGTTTCAAACGCCATTGCGTTATGCATTTATAAATCTTGTGATCTAAGGCAATATCGAGACAATCCTTACAGGATACACATTTACCAACACAAGACTGATCAATTTCAGTTCTAAATAACATTTGGAAGATACAAATAAAACAACACTAAGAAGTGAATTTAAACTTTTGTAAAACATAATGTAAACTTTCAGTTGTTGTACTCTTTGAACAGTCAAATCGATTTCTTTTGTAATTTATTCATTTTTATTCTATCAAACAAAACTGGGTCATGTTTTGTTTTTGTTAAAAGAAATCGAATAGTTATTTGAATTAGATGATAGATTACTTATAGTTGTTTTATTAGTTACGTGTACTTATAAATTGTCCATGATTCCAACAGTTGAGATCATGAGTCAATTGAAGCTAGACCACCACCTTTGGAAACCTGGAAGCACTAGACGGCCGTCTCGTCTTAGTATGGGACTTCTCAGCGGTGCGCATCCACGACCCCATCTCACGGGATTCGAGTCCAGGACCTACCAGTCTCGCATTAGGCACTTAACCAACTAGACCACCGATTTGGCCGGCATCCAACGATGTTAATGTCTAACTTCAATCAATCTATAATTCGTTTCATTATTCACCTTATTGATCAGTTCGTTTTATTCAGTTCAACATGTACATAGATACAATAGTTACATAATAATGAGCAGATTAAATTTGAAGGACTACTAATTCTATATAGCAACAAATAGTATAAAATTCTAATGAAATATAAATAATCAATTAAAAGGTTTTTAATTGACGGTAAATCAAATCATTAAAATGTTTTGATAATAATAATAATAATAATAATAATATATATATATATATATATATATATATATATACGTTTGTCACCCTATTAACTAAAGTTGGTTGTTTGGAGACAAAGATCGAATTGTTAACAAAATTATCCATTGGATTCACTTGGTATTGTTTGATTGAATTTTTCTATTGATGTTTAGAACTGCAATTGATCAGTCATTTATTGATTTATATGGATACTGTGCATATTGTCTTGATATTGACTTAATTCATAAGCATTTTAAGCACAACTTGCACACATATGTCAATAAGAAACTGATCAATTGTAATCTGAATCATCAATGGGATGATTGATGTAAACAATACCAAGTAAATTTAAACTTCACCCCATTGCACAAACAAGTGTCTATCAGGACTCAGTAGTTAAATGGATAACGTGATGGTGAATAAAGCGAACGGTACTGAGTTCAACTCTTAGAGTGAACATCAACTCTAAGATGCGGGTCAATTGAAGCTAGACAACCATCATGGAAAACCTGGAAGCACTGGTCATGCATGAGCAGTGCTGAGGAGTTCCACCGTCCAGTGCTTCCAGGTTTTTCATTGTGGTCTAGCTTCAGTTGACTCATGATCTTAATTATTGAAATTTATATTTATTGTTACAAAACGCGAATCCTGGATTCCACTAAATAAATATGTTGTGTATCACATTGATACTAGTCCAAGGGATATTAGATACATTTATAATGCTATACTCAATAGGAATTTTACATTCTGAAAATTAAGCCCAAACAAATAACTCAGTATGACTGTTGCGATTTGTAACTTTTTGTTCTTTGTGTAAATATTCCGATTGAGGATTGTTTTATTTCAATCATACAATAGGTTGAAGGACAACCAAATGCTTATGCAGATGCATTAGACTATTTAAATATGATATTTACTGGTGTATTTACTGTGGAGTTCGTGCTGAAGTTAACAGCTTTTGGTTTCAAGGTTAGTCATAATAAAAGTTTGTATTTTTTTTTATTTCTTTAACTAAATACTGAATCCCATCACCACAACTACAGGATGACTAATTTTCTTGGGTCCGTTTTCTCTGTAATTGAATACTATAGTATCAATTTGTTTACATTGGTGCATTATTATGTGATACATTGATTTGTATAGTCGTATGATTCACGAAATACATTCTTGTCTTTTATTATTTTCAATATTTATATTATGAAATTCTAATTACCTATTTTACGTTGATAAAAATTTCATTTTTGATTGAGATCATGAACAGATTGATGTTAGACCCCCAATTTTGGAAACCTGAAAGCACTGGACGGTTCATGATCTCAATCAAAAACGTAATAATCTCCACAACCCCCATACTGATAATCAACATGTGCTCACTAGTGACTAACTTCGTGAAGGAATACTCGGAGTTCTAGTGAGAAGCCGTGATCAGTGGAGCTAATCCATGTCGGGTTAAGACAGGTATCTACCTCAGTACAATGGAAGTTGGTCGCGCAATTTCGTGGATTGGTTGATGTTAGACACTATCATCATTGGATGTCGACTCAGTGATCCAGTTGGTTAAGCGTTCGCGCGCCAGACTGAGTGCCCTTGGTTCGAATTTGGCGAGCGGGATCGTGGATGCGCACTGCTGAGGAGTCCCACAATAGGACGAAACGGCCGTCCAGTGCTTCCAGGTTTCCAAAGGTGGTGGTCTAACAACAATCGGTTCATGATCTCAATCAAAAACGTAATATTCTCCACAACCCCCATCCTGATAAAAACTTTCATTCTTCTAAACATGATGCGAATGTCCGGCGCTTTAACCGGGTTGGTGGATATGGAGGATCCATCTACAGGAGTTGGAAAATCTTGGTTCCAAACCAATAGTGCACATGAGCCTCAGGATCCCGAGGGTACAAACGGCGTACGAACCAGTTGTTCATGATTGGCTGCATCTCCTAACGTTGCTCCAATGCTTTGTAGATTATATATATATATATATATATATCAGAATGAAGATATCTTATTGAAGTGATTCAATTAGAGCAATAAGACGACCATTAATCGTTCATTTCCAAGTAATTACAGAATACTAATCTACTGAGGGTTTTTTTCAGTGGGTTGTTAATCAGTTGTTTTGAAGTTGGCATAAAAATATAGTTACATTTTCATTTATTGATTTTTCAATACTCTTATGAGTAGAAGTAATAAACGCACCATTTTTATTACTGATTTCGTTAAGATAAACTATAAATCTGTAGTATGATTTTCATTTGAAATCGAATAATCTGATTGTATCTATTCTGCTTTTTCTTCTTCTTCTTCTTCTTCTTCAGCTCTTCATTAGTTCTAAATATTCTATTCCATAATTAGTACTTGATATAATACGATTGTTTAGTTTTCCATCTGTAATAAAACAATTACTAACCCTAATAATTACACTGCATTAATAATTTATGTTCTTTATAGTTTCAGACAATGAATTGAAATTCCTGTTATAGAAATATATGTTACCGATCGAGATCATGAATTGATCAATGTAAGATCACCATAGAAAACCTTGAAATACTGGATGACCGTTTCTTCCTAGTATGGAACTCCTGAGCAGTACACATCCACGATCTCACACGCGCGATTTGAAGCTAGAGCATTCAGTCTCGAGCATGAACTCTTAATATTTAAATCACTGAGCTGACATCCAGTGTAGCTAATCCGTATTAGGTAGAGACAGGTATCTACCTCAGACAATGGAAGATGGTCGCACGGTATCGTGGATTGGTTGAACTTAGACACTAACACCGTTGGATGCCGCCTCAGTGGTCCAGTAGGTTAAGCGATCACGCGCGCGAGACTGAAGGTCTTCGGTTCGAATCCCGTAAGCGTGATCGTGGATTTGCACTCCTCAGGGATACCATGTTAGAACGAAACGGTCGTCCTGTATTTCTAGGTTTTCAACTGTGGTCAAAAATCTATGGATTCATGATCTCAATCAAAAACTTAACAATCTCTACAACCATACAATTATATTTATATGTTAGTTTTCCATTAGATAAACCATGCTATACAACATATGAAAATAAGCCTCATCTTACTATAATGAAGGAGAACTTAGTTGGGAGAAGACAATTTTACTTTTTATTGCACGATCACTTAAAGGTTTAGCAAAAAGTGAAAATTATACATCAAATACATGATATACACATCATCTTGGAATCGTCTCTTACAAGCTTCATTGTTCCTTGATTGCTGTTGTTATCTTGATAACTTACGTTTTCTTTCCTCTCTCCTCTTATCAATCTTTTGTTCGCAGACATTCCACTTCCGACTGGTGTTTTATCTTCAAATACCTTCAAATATAAGTAGCATACATCACAATACTAGATGATTTATATTTTTGTTAAATCACCCTGTTAATTAATTTAACCTGTCATGGATATGGACGTTTTACATGTTATTAAAAATCAATAAATAATCTGCTTTTTGTTTTGTTTTGATCACCTTATCTAGAATTATTTTAGTGATCCATGGAATGTATTCGATTTCATCATTGTTGTTGGTAGTTTCGTTGATATTAATATGTCACATCTTGCTGTAAGTTTTTTTGTTTGGATCTTGAAATGTTTAATAAGAATCAACTGTTAAAATTACATAATATCCACAAAAACACCCCTTCTGATATAAATCAATATATATGCTCACTAGTGACTGGTTCCAAGTGGTATTTCCTGGAGTTCTAATGAGAAGCAGTGACCAATGGAGTTCAACTAGGTCTTTTATGAGATGGCAACATACTGAAGACAATGGTGGTTGTGCCGTTCAATTTCGTGGATTAGTTGAAGTTAGACATTAACACCGTTAAATTCCGGCTTGGTGGTCTAATGGTTAGGTGCTCGCGCGCGAGACTGATAGGTCATGGGTTCGAATCTCTTGGAGGATAGGATCGTGGATACGCAGTGCTGAGGAGTCCCACAATGAGAAGAAACTACCGGCTAGTGCTTACAGGTTTTCTATGGTGGTCTAGCTTCAATTGACTCATGATTACAACTAGTTATTTATTAGATATCTTGTTTGTATATTTTATATTGAGTTAAAACGGCTAGAAAGATTATTTTTCAAGTTTTAACAAACATTATAGTATAATAAAATAGGATTGGAATACTTTGTCATGAAGTTTTCCTTCCATTGATAGAGCAATATGAGTCACTGAATAGACTCTTATAGTGATGTGATTGATTAAAATTGATAATGTGACTGGAAGATTTAAGAATGAACTAACCAGTCCTACTGTCAGTAACACTATGAGTGATTCTGAGCATTCAAGATACAGATTATTAAATTTAAATCTTATACACATCCGCTTTTCCTGAAACTTCTCTTTGCCAATTATTTTATTCTGCTGATAGATTAGTTATTTCCACAATAACAAATCACATTTTATAAGCCCCGGAACAATTTGAACTGTAACCGGCTAAATGTTTCATATTGTAAAATCAGGTGAGATAGATTGTAATCTCATCAGAAATATCGATTTTGTCAAGAATAAAGGTAAGGCTAGCCGACGTCAGTAAACTAAGACGAAATACAGTTTCAAAGTCTCTCAATATCTTAAAACACATTTACAATTTTGAGTGAATTAAACTGGCGTCCCTAGATTTATGTAACCAAGATGAACATAAAATATTTGAACGAATGAAAAGTTCAATTATATTTTAATTTTATCCATTTCAATTATCACAGTACTTTTGCTGTCACATTGTTGCCATGGTAAACATTATAAATTGTATTCTTTCATCATCTAATATAGTTTACATCTATTTCTCGTTTTGTTTTGTTTTTTTAAAAGGCGAATTCAAAATTCATCAGTATAAACTTTTTTCGTTTATTCCGTGTAATGCGATTGGTTAAATTATTAAATCGTGGTGAAGGTATACGAACACTTCTATGGACATTTGTTAAATCATTTCAGGTATATATCGTGTTTATTTTTTAGTAATAATTATTATAATACATTTTTTAAATAGTTCAGATCATCAGTCAAATGAAGCTAGACCATCATGCGAAACCTTGAATCATTGAACAGTCGTTTCGTCCTGATGTGGCATTCCTCAGAAGTAAGCATCCACGATCCCGTCACGCGAGAGTTGAATCTAGGACGTATCCGTTTCACGTGTGAACGATTAATCTCTAGACCACTGAGTTGACATCCTATGGTGTTAATCTCCAACTTCAACTAACCCACGAAATAGAGTAATATATTCACTATTATCTTCAATGAGTTACTATCTCATAACAGACCCGATTGAACTCCACTGGTCACTGCTTCTCACTAGAACTCCAGGAAGTACTTCTTGGAGCCGGTCACTAAAGAGCAAATGCTGATTAATACCAAGTGCTTTTGTGGATATTATAATGATTTCAGTAGTTGAAATCATGAGTCAATTGAAGCTAGACCACCATAAAAAACCTAAAAGCACTGGACGGACGTCCTACTGTGCGCACCCACGATTTTTTTGTCAACAATTTGAGCTTTAAATAAGCTATTTTCTGATGAAAAAGGCCTGACTTGAGTTGCCTTATATGTGACTCCAGTTAGATCGTATTTCTTATTGACATCGATATATATATATGCCAGCAACCGTCATATATTTCTATCGAGGTAATTCGTGTTAGAGAATAACGGATGAATCAAACATACTCTATTTATATACCAACTAAACTGACCACATCGTACCATAAAAATAGAAAACAACATTTACACAATATTTAACAAGCGAAATAAATAATGGCCAATAGGGAATGCCCATTTAGAGTCCAAGGACATCATTAGACTTAACATGATAATGATTGGTATATTCCTCAGCATACCTAACACCAGCCATGACCGTGAAACTCAAGTCTAACATGATTTCAGTGTTTTCTCAACCACACGTCTTGTAAACATTACTAGAATTGATTTCTAAATATCCTAATAGTTTTAGGTGATGTATTGTATTATAAGTAAATCCATGACGCGCATTTCGTCCTGTTTGGATTGCACTAATAGCCACATTCCATCTTTGCCTATTAAAAACCATCGATTACTTTAATTAACTTGTAAGTATTTAGAGCATCATATTGTTGATGTTGAAGATAGTTAGTGATCAGTCACATTTGCGTACTGAGAAAGTTGTTTCGATATCATCATTTAGTTATAAGGATTTTTAGGTAAAGTTGATACTGATTATCAGTGAACTCTGGAACATATTTTGATAACTAGACTCAGTCACTAATTGAATAACGCGCTTAAACTAGCTGAAACAAAAACCTCTAGCTGTTATGTTGGTGTAAATATCACCACTGGAATGCAGGCACATTCATCTGACGAATCTCAAGTAGAATGAAACACTAGTCCTGGATTTCATTACCAGACACCATCAAATTTTGTTTTAAAGTATTAGATAATACTTTGATGATAACTGCTTACTATTGAGAGATATACTGATTTTATGATTATTGCTTGATTGAATACAAAGACGTATAAAATGTTTTTACACTTTTTTTCTATAACTCATTTATAGGCATTACCTTATGTTGCTCTACTGATCATCATGTTATTTTTTATATACGCTGTAATTGGAATGCAAATGTTTGGTAAAATTGCATTAATCAATCCAGATAGTTCAATAAATCGTAATAATAATTTTCAAACATTTCCTCAATCATTGTTAGTGTTATTTCGTTCTGCAACTGGTGAAGCTTGGCAAGAAATAATGTTAAGTTGTGTTAATGGTAAGTTCATTGAAAACAAACTGTTGACATTGTAGCGTAAGGTCGAATCGCTGTTGACTATGATCACCACTACGGGAAGGTTGCGTACCAATTATCAGAAGGCAATTGAAGGTTGTAGCTAAGTATATTTTGTTGGTGATCTCGTGGTATCGACAGAATACAGAGATCGTACCAAAGCAGTACAAGCGGATTTACTGAGCAAACGTGAGTTCGTGCAAGGTAACAATCAATGGAGGGAAGAATGGAAGAATAATGAATGTCTTTAGTACAGTTAAACAAACAAATACAGTAAAACAATCACTGATACAATCGGCTATAATAATAATTGTTTTCATTAAACCAATCGCGTTCTCTTGATAAAAGTAGGTCACTACAACATTATTGAGGATTCACGGTCAGAAGAGTTGAAAATTTAAGTACGGAACTAATATGTAGCTTGTAAATCGTTCATGGTGTTCTTCTTTCTCTTATGATTATACAAACTATAATTGAGGAATATAGTCGATGGTTAATGACCTTGAATGTGACGACACAAAATAGTTTTCAGTAGCGCAGGTGCATCCAGACTTTGTGTTCTCCCAAATGTTAATCTTCTGAACTCTTCTTATCCCCTTATTTTCTTTCTTTCCAAATTTATTTCACTGGATTATACTCCTTCAATAACATCTTCAAACCCTAATGTTTCCGATTACTTCTTTTACCTTTACTACGTCTACCACTATGGGATTTAAGTCGACAATTGTATCTCTGTTCTAATGTGGTATGGTAACTTGAACTAATGTACGTACGTACGGCGTTCTACGCTGTTACTGACGTACTGAGGAATATAGGGATTTCATTTTATTTCTAGATTACTTATAAATAATCTTCTCATCATTGAGTTATCGAGAAGTATGCGTCACTAAAACATGCGACATACTTCTCATAGTTATTCCATTGTATGAAAAACCTTTTATCGTATACTTTCAGGTTACTGTTGTCAAAAAAAATGTTATTCTCCACATACTAGAATCATGCCCCGTTCACCATAATCATAACATCCAAACTGATATGATGAATTAGTATGATAATATTGAAGTTCGAAGGTGAATTTCATCACTAATTAATTTAACTAGGAATAACTTCAACTCTATAACAAATTTCACCAGTTCTGTTTCATTGTGTGGCATTTTTATTCTTAGATCTATTTAATATAAATAACATTCCGTAGATTTCAATTTGTAGTCATGACATTTGGAAATACTTGGGTCTACAAAAAATTTTAAAAAAACTGAACAACAGGTTCTAAAATTCACATTTCGTTGAACATTAACCTAATTTCAAAACTTGAAATTATATTCTATTAATTAGTGTCTAGACTATATGATATTTCAATTGTTGAGATCATGAGTTAATTGAAGATAGACAATCATGGAAAACTTGGAAGCACTGGATCGCCGTTTCGTCATATTGTGGGACTCTTCAGCGGTGCGCATCCACGACCCCATCTCACGGGATTCGAACCCATGACCTATCGGTCTCGCGCGCGAACACTTAACCTCCAGACCACTGAACCAAACGGCATCCAATGGTGTTAATGTCTAACTTCAACTAATCCACAAAATTGAGCGACACATTCTGCATTTTCATCAGTAAGTAACTATCTCACAACTGACCCGGTTGTACTCTACTGTTTTGCTTATTAATTCTCTTTTATTTTAGATCACACTGTCAAATGTGATCGATATTCAGATACTGAAATGAAAGCTATACGAAGTTTTTTAGATGAACAACAACATATTATTTTAATGAATACTACATCAACACAATATATTTTGATAAAACAAAATGGTAATAATTCAACAAAAGTTTCGACACCTTTTGTAACATCTATAGATGATTCAACAGAATATAATCAACCATCAGTGTCATTTTATCATCATGAACGAGATAATCATTCTATTTGGGATGCATTGAATAATGGATTAATGGATAATAATCAGAATTCCTTATTTACTTATTCACATCCTTCCACAATACTTGGATTAGATAATCCTACAATAGAAAAGGACCGGTCTTCTTCTTCTTCTTCATCGTTTTCATCAGTTGAAAATATACATCCTCCAGATGATATTGTTTATTCATCAGAATTGATAAGTAGATATAGACAAAGTAGAGAAATAAATGATAAAAATGAAACATTTCCTATCATTTCAACACAATTATCATTATCTTCATCATTAAAACCAATTCATAATCAACTTATTCATTCATCTATTGAAGAGTTTGATGAAAGAACAATTAGTTGGAAGAAATTAGATGAATTAGGATATAATGGACCACGTGCAACATGTGGATCAAATTTTGCCTATCCATATTTTATTTCTTTCTATATGGTTTGTTCATTTCTTGTAAGTTCCTTTTCTATGTATTTCATATGCTTAAACTAATAGTTAAAGTAAACTATTCAGTTCTAATTGTATTGAATTGAAGAATCTATTAATTTGTAGATATAAATGATTTAGATCCCAGCTTCAATGATCCAAGGATCATTTTTGGATAAGGACACCTGAAACTATCGGTCTAACTTTAAGAAGTATTTATAGTTTATGTTATTTTGAATTGCCCAATTGTGATGAAAATGTTCTATTGACTAGTTCTTCAACGTTGGAAAGGTATTAAATCTCGAATGAACAAAAAAATGACCAGAATGGGTTTTGTAGAGATTTTTAGAAATTTCACTGGTTGAAATCATGAGTCAATTGAAGCTAGACCACCATGGAAAACCTGGAAGCACTGGACAGCCGCAACTTTGTGGATTGGTTGAAGTTAAACATTAACACCGTCGGATGCCGGCTCAGCGGTCTAGTTGGTAAATCGCCTGGCGCAAAACCGATAGGTCTTGGGTTCGAATCTTGCGAGGGGCAGGATCGTGAATGCGCACTACTGAGGAGTCCCATACTCGGACGAAACGTCCGTCCAGTACTTCCAGGTTTTCCATGGTGGTCTAGCTTCAATTGAGTCGTGATTTTAATCAGTGAAGAAAATGACATTTTATTTTTTTAAACCCGACAGAAATATACTACTTCTTGAGAGTGGGATGTTCTAGATTTGATTAAGTCAAATGTCAGTGGAATCCAGTTTGACGCGCGTTTCGTTCTGTTTGGGATTCGTCACCTTGATGTACCTGCACCTCAAGGTTGACGTTCATTGTGGGACTCGAACTCAGTACCGTTCGCTTCAAACATCATCACGTTATCCACTTAGCTACTGAGTCGTGATATCCACCTGCTTGTGCAAAAGGATGAAGTCTTAAATTCACCTGATGTTGTTTACTTGTATCTTCCCATTGTGATTTAGGACTGCAGTTGACGAGTCCCAAATAGGACGAAACGCGCGTCATTCTGGATTCCATTGCTAGTCACTATCCACCTTTACTTAAAAAACTGATAAGTTAAGGCTATATCGAGGCAATCTGCACAAGATACACGTATACGCCAACAAGAGACTAATCATTTGCAGTCCTAAATAGTAATGGGAAGATACAAGTAAACCAACATCAAATGAATTTAAATGTCTGTAGGTTATGGAAGTTCCAAACTACTATAACACCGTTTTTTATAGCCATCTACTTTGTTATTCATCCTACTCTATATGCTAATTACATTTTTTTCATATACTGTTACATGTTTTTCTAATGATGATTATTATCATTATTATAATTGATTATTTTAGATTATCAATTTATTTGTTGCTGTTATAATGGATAATTTTGATTATTTAACACGAGATTGGTCAATATTAGGTCCACATCATTTAGATGAATTTATACGTTTATGGTCAGAATATGATCCTGAGGCAAAGTAAGCTATACATATTTATGATATTTTTACTGTAATTATAATACAAATTGATTCGCACATCGGAGCAGTCGGCGGTTGGGCATATGTAACACGTGTCTCAGCCATCTCAACTGATGAAGTTTCACTACTTGACCAAATGATTTTCCATTCTTACCTAGTACTCGTTCCCTAACAATCACATTACTTACTCGGTAGTCCCAGGATAGACGAGTAATGCTTCGAAGACACCTTTGATCGAATACTAGTAACCTAAGAATATTCTCAACTCTTATTGGCCATGTTTCACAGCCATAAAGTAGGACAGAACGAACTGCTGTGTAGTAAACACGTCCTTTCGTTGGTAGACGGATATCTCACCTACGCCATAAATGACGCAAGTTGGCAAAAGCTAATAGGGCCTTCTGTATCCGTGCTGAGATTTCGTCACACACCAGACCACAAGGGCTGATGAGACTTCCAAGATAAGTGAAGTGGTCGACACGCTCAACTACTTCACTCCCTATCATTAGTTCGGGTGTCGATGCAACCCAATCCTGAAGCAACATTTTACATTTCGAGGGCGAGAATCGCATCCCGAACATGCTTGCATTGTCGTTTAGAGTGGTTAGAAGACTATTCATTTTGTCAGCGTCTTCACCAAATAGAACTATGTCATCGGCATATTCCAAGTCAACAAGTGAATCTCCTGGAGAAAGTTCAACTCCTGGAAATTTAGATGATGATAGTGTCATCTCTAGAAGCATTTCAACGAGTAAGTTAAACAAGAATGGAGAGAGTTGGTAGCCCTGACGAACATTACCTGAGGTAATCAATTCTGATGACAGTTCGCCATAAGCTCTCAGGTGGATGATTTTGATGGAGTTTCGTTCTCTAAGCTAATTGATTTAATCATGGAGCTTTTTTGTGCTTCTGAACAACAACATCATCAGGACACATTTCGGGTATATATAACTCACTGTTTGTCCTGTCAACCTCGGTCTTGGTTGTTTATTATTAACATTTAGTTTGTCATTATCTGAATATTGTATTTGAAAAGATTATAACCAACCTGAATCAAAGGAAAATATTACTGTTCATAGTACAGATCTCATAAATCTTTAAAGACATAAGTTCAGTAATATTAACCGGGTTGATCCACATTTTGATCTGGTGTCTCAGAGCTGCACGTATCTGAATGATTCTTAGCGCTAACTTACAAATAGTAAAAAAATTTTTCCTGTGATTGTTACAAAGCTATCATTTCAATCAATAAGGATGCTAGAACATTTGCTTCCATAGTCATATGATGACAAATTGGACTTGGATATTATTGAGTCAAAGCAAACTAAACAGGCGTTAAATATATTCATGGATTCATGAACCAAATATGTTTTATGAGTTTGGTTTTGCGGATCTAAGGACCCTTAAGAATGTTTAAATGTTAATGTGTTGTTTATTTCAAAGAGATTATTAGCGTTTAAAAAGTGTAGAAGCATTGGACGGCCTTTTCATCCTAGTATGGAACTCCTCGGCAGTGCGCATTCACGACCGCGCATGCGTAATCAACTGAAGTTAGACATTAACATCGTTGGATGCTCAGTAGTCTAAAGGTTAAGAGTTCACGCACGAGACCGGAAGTGCTAGGTTTGATTCCCTTTAATAGACGATCATGGATTCGCACTGCTCAGGAGTCCCATACTAGGATGAAACGGTCGTCCAGTGCTTCCAAGTTTTCAATGGTGGTCTAGCTTACATCGACTTATGAATTCAACTATTAAAATTATTACAGTATCCACAAACCCTATTCTGATCATAAAACGTTTGGCCCTGTTACGTTCTATATACGTAAACCTAATGAACCTTTTTTTACTAAAACGTATTTAGCGTCCCATGTTTGATCACAATGGAAAATACTTTGAACTTATATATGTTCAAAATACATCCTACCCCAATTTCCGTACAATTTTTTCATATAAATGCGACTGAAGTTAACGCTTTATAAGTGATAATTATATAATGATGAGCGTTGATCACATGTGCGTTGTGCCTTAGCATCAAAAACAATTAATGCAACTGTGGCAACAGTGGAATTCAGCACACGCGTCTCATCCTATTTCATTGAACGTAATATCAAGACAATTCGCACAGGATGCATGTATATACCAATAAGAGATTGATCAATTGTAGTCTTAAACATTAATGGGAAGATTTAACCAACGAAAATAAAAATGAATTTAATATGTTATAATATCCGATTAAAATTCCGACTGGAGTCCCTCCGGCGGCTACTGCCGGTCCCAAGGCTGGATAAAGGAGGAGGGTGGGGCATGGGGTTAGCGACCCCATCCCGTAGAAAACTAACTCGCTAAAAAAATGCTAACCAGTAATATCCGATTAAGACTTTTTATTACCCTATGGTCACTACATTTAGTTTTTAAATTGCCTACAATTTGATGTTATTTCTTACTGTCTATTACAATGTATTATACTATATATACATTTATTCATGAACATACATTTGATTTGATTCATTTTAGAGGAAGAATTAAACATCTTGATGTAGTTACACTCCTTCGTAAAATATCACCTCCATTAGGTTTTGGTAAATTATGTCCTCATCGAACTGCATGTGTAGTAAGTGTATTCAATTTAAAAAAATGTATTGAATTCTTGAATATTTGACAGTTGTAAATGTCATTCAGTTGTTTAAATGTGTTTAAGGTATTATTTTCAAACAACCATGTTGGTTTAGAGATTGTGGACTAGTTAGTATATAGATTCATGATGACACAAAATGTAATAATGTTTATTCATCCTACGGAAATTTGAATTTCGTTATAACTTGTGGATTTGTGACCCTTCAATATATAACGTAATGATATCGCCAATTAGAGAATAAAGATTTATCGGCTGGAACAGTGACGCAAAAAATCCCTGCAGAGTAGTCTAGAGTTCTTAACGGGCTCACTTGCTGACTAGCTCTGCCTGTTAAAGTTCAGAACATCAATCTCAGCCTTTGAGATATGGATTATTTATTTCAAACATACTGGACTTATATATACTAACCAAACAGACCACATCGTACCATCAAATAGAATATACATATTTGTACAAGGTTCCGCACCACTCATTCTTTGTTCTTGTTCTTTTTCCTTCAATCTTCTTAACCTTCTGACGTCAGGTATTTCACAAGATCAAAACAAAAGTGTCTGTGAGTGTGATAGACTGTAACTAATAGACTGGGAATATATTAAGAATCGTAAATCGTATAACATTAGTTAATAGGTCAAATGAAAGCTTATGATTTAATTAGTAATTATCCATTAAGAATATATGTAATGAAAGCCCATAAATAATTCCTAGCGATTGCTATTCATTTATTCTTCGTTCAGATGTAACACAGGTTATGTGTAAATAATAGATAATATAATAATCAATATAGTTTTTGTTATATCCCAATGAGTAGAGAAGTTGTATTTCTGACGTTTTGCGATTGAATATAAGTCACTTCTTCAGAGTAAATGAATAACGCAACTTTGAAGAAGTGTCTTACACTGAGTCACGAAACTTCAGAAATACAACTTTCCACTCAATGCTCAATTTATTTGAAACTATCAGTATTCTTCATTGAACAAAATATTACCTTGTTCTTTTCTTATTTCATTTATCACTAAATAACTGAAGCTGTAAATCAATCCTTTGATCATCTAGTTCTCAATTGTTATTAGAAAATTAAGAATTTACTTTGTTCTAATTCAATTTCCGCTACTATGACTACTACGACGACGATTAGTTCTACTATTACTAGTATAGTGAACGAGAACACAAGTTGGGACAGTCAGGTGTATTTTAATACAAAAGTACAGAACATCTTAGTAAAATCTGAGAACCATACAGTAGATACTTAATTTGCAAAATGTCAATCAATTGTTTCAAACTTGACTATTCCTTTTGCAAAGATCAATCAATCGTCTCGGACTCATAGTTTCTGCATTTTCATACCAATTGCTTTATGTTCACGTTCTTTCCACCTCGATCTTCTGCTGCCCGACATTCTATTCCTTATTAGCGTTATATACTACTTATGAAGATGTAAGCAATGCACACTCCAGTGGAAAGCTTAACTAATAAGCTTAATAGTTAACTAACTAACATGTTAACTCAAGTTTCCTTATACTAATAAATTTACATTTTCATTTTAGAAGTTTTACAGTAATATATGTCATTTATTGTTGTATCTACATATTATGGATAATCCTATGAGTTTATGAGTAAAGTCAGTTAGTGAGTCAGTCAGTCAGTCAACAACATAAACCTTCGTACGTACGTAAAGTAGCTATTTTAAATAAAACTGACGTTTCCTTCATTTATTACAAGAAATGAAAATAATGTATGCTGCTCAAACTTTCATTAATGAGTACAATTTGTATAACGATCTTACAAAACAGACTCGGAGAGTATACTTTCCATTGATAGGTCATATCTGGTTCCTTCTAAGAGTTCTCTGTTTTCTTTAAAATACATTTACAATTACAATATATCTAGAACAATTGACCTTTATTTAGAGAATTGTACCAAGCCTATTAAAATATGTATATAATAGACCTCATTTATAATATTCATTACCCCCAAATGCCCTGGTAGGGCTGAGAGTGTGGTGGGCCCACCCTCCTCGAAATGCTCCCACACGGCCACGCGTATATAGCCTCTGCCAGGGAAGTCCTACTCACTACCTTCACGTGGCGGGGGTGTTGTTTACGAAATTGAGAGGAAGAAAAGCGAATGTCCGATGCTTTAACCGGATCCGAAACCATTGGTGCACATGGGCTCCAGTATCCTGCGGGAACAAATGACGTATGAACCAGTTTCTTGGTCATCGGCTACCATGGAACAGCATCTCCTTACGATGCTCCACTGCCTTGTGGGTTAGACCTTTAGGTCAGAGGCTTGGGGTGTGGCCCCCTAAGAAAACCACTTGCTTCGGTCTGTGCACTCGGGCAGTATCACAGCCCACACCGAAATATAATGATAATGAAAATATGTGGCGCATACATATTTGGTGCCTTGTTGTACCAATATTTCTATGTTCAAATAAATAATATTCATCAGAAGAGTTAATGATATCTCTACAAAGGAAAAAGGTATTTCTTTAAATAATTTATAAGATTAATATGAATTGCTGACTTAATTAAGTTCTGTTTTTTTTTGTTTGTTTGTCTAACTATTCAAGTTCTTGAATTATTCATCATTGATCTTATTCAACATTAAGCTTTCTATACTAATTAAACTTTGATAGTAACAATTTTACATTAATTAATAAGGTCAGATTATGTTTCATAATTATGTTTTAAGTAATAAACTCATTGATTAATTATCCAAATAAACATATACAATCTTATAGGAAGTCACATTAACACAACTGTGAACAAAAAATAACAAAGCAACTTCATTATGTAATATGGAATGATTTAATAAGAAAGCATTAATAAGTACATCTATTATGCATTACAGTAATTAAGCTGGCACTATACACCTTGTAATCATATGACCTTCATACTTTGATCGTTTTAACCTAACCGCCAAAACTAAGACCTATACATTCAAAGCATAACAGAACTGTATGATACTTCATTTGATTACATTAATTAATCACTTTATTACTGGAAGTCTATATAATCATTTATGAATCCAAGCATTATTAAAAGATATCATAGATTTTGTATCATCTTGTAACAATAAATCTATTCAATCATATGATCTAGTACAAATATCAATTCTCTTCAATTAACCATACAAATGATCATTTCTTGGTGTACACAAATTAAACTGAGAAAAAGCTTCATAAAACTATATATATAAAATGTCTTTGACCACTATATGTTTGATACAACTTGAAGGAAGTGATTCAGTTAATCATTGGGATTACATTCATTTCGACAGTGATCAACATTTCAAAGATAATAACTTTATTTTCACTGACTATATTATTCGTTCATAATATGATCATACCTGAAGACTTTATTGAATATTGAACAGATGTAAATCATAATGTAGTGTATGCTACTGATGTTGACATATATAAGCGCATTTCAAACATTCTGGCATCGTTGCTTAGTGCTACCATAAGACTCTGCATTTTATCAGCGTCTTGACCAAACAAGACTATGTCATCTGCGTATTCTAAGTCGATAAGTGGACCTCCTGGAAGGAGATCAATACCCGAGGATTCAGTCGACGAGAATGTTATTTCGATCAGTAGATCTATGATGAAGTTGAAGAAAAATGGAGAATGTGGACAGCCTTGACGGACACCACTTGAGATTGCAAAATCAGATGACAGTTCGCCATAAGCTCTCACTCGATTAGTAGTGTTCGAGTAAAGAGCCTTTACAAGATTTATGTACTTCTGAGGTATGCCCTTCAATGGCAGACATTGCCACAGAATCTTGCGGTCTACGGCGTCAAATGCACTGTTCTATTAAAGGACTTTTAATTTTATACTGATGACTTATCAAAAGTACAAATTTAAATTGAGAACATCATTTAAATAAAAGTAGACAAGAGGGAGATTCGCGAGATGTACGCAATAAAATATTTCAGATTACGGAATATAACCAGCATAATATATCGTACATTCCTTAATACACAAATGGTGAATATTTCTGAACTCGTGTGATGTCATATATGTTGTCACATTCAGACATAAAACAATTTTTTCCATACATTCGTACATTTTACCACGTCTAAACGTTTCTACTCACCTTTAGCATAGCGTTTAATTCATTTCCATTGTAATATTTTCAATAGTTTTACCAAATATTTCGTTATCGATTGGTACATTGAGTTTGACATTTCCAGAATCATGTACCCAAAGATTTTGAACCTTCAGTAGGTCATAAAGTCGTCAAGTAGGTGTCTCGTAATATTTAAGTACGTAACAGAATCAGAAATCTGTGATTATTCCAGAGGTTTTAATGTGTTATAGTTAGATAAGAACCAATCTTACATAATGCAAGTTTTAGGAATTCAGTCTGATCCGCCAGTATACAATTCATTGTATCTATGTAATCATTCTTTGTCAGAATTAGAATACTTGGGTTATTTTATCTACTTTGATGGCTTTTGAATTCTCATCCGACTTTAACTTAATCCGTATGCTGTGCATGTGATCCTTGTTACTGTTATGTGGAATGTCAAACATTATTCAGTATAGTCATGTATCTTCCAGGTTTTTTCTTTATGGGTTTCAACATACATGAACTGCTTTATTTAACAAGAATTGTCACTAAGTCAATAAACAATCATTCCTTACCACCTAAGTGACAATGGATGTAGTATTAAGATGTTGGTTTCTCAAATGTTTATTAAGTCTACAGCAATTTATCCAAAGGCATAGGATTATCCATTCTCTATATTACCAAAAACAATGAGCATCAACTTAATCAAAAAAGAGACTTATATATACAAGACAAAGGAATTTTCTCTTATCCCTTTCTTGTATAGATTTTTATATTTTACCAATGATACATATTGTCATTATTTTAAAATTCAATGTATGTGGAATATACTACTTTCAACCTATAAAATTGATTCATACAATCATATTCAGACGAAATAGATGTCCAATGGTTCCAGGATTTCAGTGGTTGTATTTAACTTTGATCAATTAGTGATTTTAATGAAATTACATGCATAATCACCTTCGAATGAAAATATTTTGAGGATCAAATGAATATCAGTTAATTTGAATTGAATTGTTTTTAATAAGATTCGTTGATTTAAGACAGTAAACTATACCTATTAAAAAAAGCATTTAAAGTGTCTATTAGTGGTGTTTTCACATCATATACAACTGTGAAATAAATATTAACTTCAATGGTTAAGATCATGTGTCAATTGAAGCTAGACCACCATGAAAAACCTGGAAGCAGTGGACGGCCGTTTCGTCTTATTGTGGGACTCCTCAGCAGTGCGCATCCACGACCACGCCCCCTGTGTGATTCGACCTCAGAACCTACTGGGTTGTCTAGCTTCGACTGACTCATGATCTTAACCATTGAAATTACTATAATATCTACAAAACCTATCTGATATTAAAATAAATATTACTTTAATATCAGTGTACTTATCCTAGTTCCCATATCTCTAACCTTATTATCTTTTTTTGTTTACATTTTGATCGTTGATAAAGAATTCATTAACTGATAAGAAATTTAAAATCTGCTTCTAATCTTTCATTATGAAGCAGAGACTAGTGGAGTTCAACCGGGTCTATTGATAGATTGTAACTCACTGAAACTTCAATTGACTCACAAACTCAACTATTTGAAGACTACAATACCCAGAAAAAAGCACTTTCTGATGATAATCATCCTATGCTCACTAGTGACTGGCTCTAGGAGGTATTTCCTGGAGTTCTAGTGAGAAGCAGTGACAAATGGAATTCAACTGAGTCTGTTGTGAGATAGTGACTCACTGAACATAATGGTGGATGTGTCACTCAGTTTCGTGGATTAGTTGAAGTTAAACATTAATACCGGCTAGCTCAGTAATGTAAAGGTTGATCGTTCGCGCGCAAGACTGATAAACGCTGGCCTCGAATCCCGTAAGCGACATCGTGGATGCACACTTCTGAAGAGGAGTCTCACGTCAGGACGAAAAGTCTATCCAGTGCTTCCAGGTTTTTTATGGTGGACTAGCTTCAATTGACTTACAAGTTCATCTATTAAAATACTATAATATCCATCGAAACCCCTTTCTGATGATATTTCTATGTATATCATTATTAATATCTATCAATCATCTTATTTCCATTCTTTACATCAATATTTGAATATTTTTGTTTCAGACTTTAGTACGTATGAATATGCCATTGAATAGTGATGGAACTGTCATGTTCAATGCAACACTTTTTGCTTTAGTTCGAACTAATTTAAAAATAAAAACTGAAGGTAAGCTATTATGAATTAGTTGTATTGAATAGATTATTTTTATCATGGTTCCTAAATTATTTTTCTCACATTTTATTCATACATAACTTCACATTCATGTCAAATTAAATTTACAAAAAAAAACAAACAAAGAGAAAACTACGGTACGTTTTAGGGTGAAGAAAGTTAGCTCTCTCTCGTAATGCTCTCACATGGACACGCATATACAATCACTTTCAAGGAAGTCCTACTCACTGCCTTCTCACGGCAGAACTGTTGTTTATAGAAATTGAAAGTAAGAAAACCGAATATTAAGCGCTCATACTGAGTCGGTCGATGTGGAGTATTTACTTAGAGGAGTTGAAAAACCCTAATTCCAAATCGATAGTGCACATGGGTTCACGGATTTTCTGGGGGGATGAAATGCTGTATGAACCTATTTTTTGTCATCACTTACCATGGTACGGCATCTCCTAACGTTCCTCCACTGTCTTGTAGATTAGATCTTTATATTTCAAAAGCTCGGAGAGTGCCCCCTTAACAAAACATTCTAATGTAGTGCTGATGAATGATTTCTTAGGAAAATTTAAACATCAATTTAGAAATTTCTTGTTTACAGACTATTATTCTACTGAATAACATCCATAATATTAAAATTCATAATAATAGAAAGCTGCCAGAAGTTGAGTATAATTTCTATTTTCAACATGCATACGGGTTACTGTAAGCTGTTAATTTTGACTGTTGGCCACACCCGTGGGTTATATGCATTTGAGACGTCATTAACATATATCGTTAGATTTAACATACTTACTTACTTACGCCTGTTACTCCCAATGGAGCATAGGCCGCTGACCAGCATTCTCCAATTCATTCTGTCCTGGGTCTTCCTTTCCAGTTCTGTTCAATTTTTGTTCATTTTTCTCATGTCTGTCTCTATATCTTGGCATAATGTGTTCTTTGGTCTTCCTCTTTTCCTTTCGACCTGAGGATTCCATGTGATGGCTTGTCTTGTGACTCAGTTGGGTGCTTTCCTCAATAGATTTAACTAAGTCCGGATAAGTCGTAGTAACCATCTCGTCGATAACTAAAGTGTACAGAACATTGGGTCACCACTATGAATCTCAGCTTTTTTCAATTATTTTTGTATTTTAAATTCGGTAATTCATAAAGAAATTAGTTTGAGAAATAGCTATTCAGAATTTCAATAGTTTAATTATGTCCTCTGTATTATGATGGATAGGACTGAAATATTACTACTGATTCCTTATTGATCTTCAATTTTGTGTATGAACAATCATTTGTTATACATATATCAAGTCAAATTACTTTAATTCCCTAATACAAATATATACAGTCGACATGGGATGACCAAGCTAAGACATAGTACCAATCCATGTTTTGCACTATTTCCATAACTAACGGTTAAACACGTGTAATATGGTTCAGAATCAGTTTCAATAACACAAATACATCCGCGCATTAGTATCCTTTAGATTGCGAGTTTCAAAATGATTCTATACCTTTCACCGTACAAATCCATTTTTATTCCGCAAATTATATCGTCTATGCTTAGGGTTAGTGTTATTTTATAGTAAGCTAGACAATGCTGTCTACTCTCCCCTTCCTCTTTTTTCTGGTGGTTGACTGGATTATGAAGACCTCGACATCTGAAGGAAAACACGGAAAACAATGGACAGCTCAGAACCAATTAGATGATTTGGACTTCGCAGATGACCTAGCCCTCCTATCGCATACACATGAACAAATGCAGATAAAGACAGACAGTGTAGCAGCAGTTTCTGCATCAGTAGGCCTCAACATACACAAGGGGAAAACCAAGATCCTCAAATACAACACGAAGAACACCAACCCAATCACAATTGATGGCGAAACTCTGCAAGATGTAGAATCCTACGCGTACATTGGAAGCACCAATGATTAACTAGGAGGATCAGATGCAGACGTAAAGGCGAGGATTGGCAAAGCAAGGGTTGCATTCCTACCATTGAAGAACATATGGAAATTCAAACAGCTGCCAACCAACATCAAATTCACAATCTTCAATACAAACGTTAGGACAGTTGTACTGTACGGAGCTGAAACCTGAAGAACTATAACAACCATCATCAAGAAGGTGCAAGTATTTATAAATAGCTGTCTATGCAAGATACTCAACATCCATTGGCCGGATACCATCAGAAACAGTCTACTGTGAGAGAGAACAAACCAGCTTCCAGCTGAAGAATAAATTAGGAAAAGACGATGGAAATGGATAACACATACATAACGCAAATCATCAAACTGCATCAGGAGAGAAGCCCTAACTTGGAATCCTAAAGGGAAGCGGAAAAGTGGAAGGCCAAAAAACACATTACGTCAGAAAATAGAATCAGATGTGAAAAAGATGAATAACAACTAAAAAATAGCTGGAAAGGATTGCTCAGGACAGGGTTGAATGGAGAATGCTGGTGAGAGGCCTATGCTCCTCCACGAGTAGTAACAGGCGTTAGTAAGTAAGTACGCTTAGGGCATTTTATTGTTTCTGATACTGCTCCAACTTTAATCATTCTGATATATATCTAGACAATTTCATCTCTCTATGCTCATATGGTGTGACCACGTGAACCGACACACAAATGTTAAGTTCTAAGTTGCTTGTGAAATACGAAATGATCAACATATTCAACTGGTTATACTCATGATGATATCTCTCGAAATTTGTTGCATCTGAGATTTGAAGGATTGATTTTTTTGAATATAATTATCGTTTAATCCATCTAAGTGATTTCAAAATTACATATTATAGTCAACCAAATTGTTCATACTCTTAATATTTCATTGTTATTGAATAACATCCATAATAATATTAATACTAATATATGTGAAAATTATATTTGAAATAATCTCAGCAATTGAAATGTAAATAATTCCAACGTTTCGTCCAGTTAACTTGTCCGGACTTCTTCAGAGTAATAATCCAATGAAGAAGTCCGGACAAGTTAGCTGGATGAAACGTTGGAATTATTTACATTTTAATTGCTGAGATTATTTCAAATATAATTTTAACATATAATGACTTCTTTATGCTCGGCGCTCGATTTCTGTCAAACTATTCGGTCTAATCTTGACAAATATTCATATAAATAATAATAATAATAATTACTATTATTATATGATATAGGTGCAGCCATTGATCAATTAAATGAAGAACTTCGTGCTGTAATTAAAAAAATATGGAAAAGAACAAGTAATAAATTATTAGATCAACTTGTACCTCCTGCAGGTGGTAAGTTTTCAAATGTTGCTAAAACTATATCCACTTAGATTAATCAGAAATAATGTTTATATATATAATTTATACTTACTTACTTACGTCTGTTACCCATCGTGGACGAATATAGACCGTCTACCAACATTTGTCTTGAATAATCTTTTCCAATTGTTATTCGTCTTTTTAATGTCTACTTTCAACGCTCAATGAAATGTGTTCTTTGGTCTTCTTTTTTTCTCTTTTTCTTATTTCCCTACAGAATTCCAAGTTAAAGCATAAAATGTATAAGCATAAACTAATTAATTATTAATAAAATCATTATCACTGAATTATAAATCAAAATGATTATAATCATGTGAATTTTTGTATGAAATTACTAAAATTGACAATAATAAATGATCGAGATCATGAACCGATTGATGTTAAGTTTTCAATGGTGGTCTAATATCAATCGGTTCATGATCTCAATCAAAAACTTAACAATCTTCACAACCTTTTAACTGATAATTACCATATGCTTACTAATAACTGGCTTCGTGAGAAAATTCTCGGAGATCTAGTGAGAAGCCGTGACAAGTGGAGTTAATCCGTATCGGGTAGAAACAAGTGTCTACCTTTGTACAATGGAAGATGGTCGCGCAACTTCGTGAATCGGTTGATGTTAGACACTGTCACTATTGGATGCCGGCCGGGTCAGTGGTCCAGTAGGTTAAGCGTTCGCTCGCGAGACTGAAGGCCCTGGGTTCGAATCCGGCGAGCGGGATCGTGGATGTGCAATGCTGAGGAGTCCTACAACAGGATGAAACGGCTGCCCAGTGCTTCCAGGTTTTCAATTGTGATGGTCTAACATCAATCGGTTCATGATCTCGATCAAAAACTTAAATATCTTCACAATCCCTAAACTGATAATAATAAATGAGTAACATTCACCTTTCAATGTGTTTAACCTTATTTATATCTAGTTAGAAGTTAACTTAATATAGAGCATTGAAAATTCTTTTATCATTGTGAGTATTTGTTAATTGGATATCATTGAAACTATGTTCTAATTCTGAATAATAGATTTCCAAATTAAGAATTGTTTTGATTAACAAATTATTATAAATTAGATCACTAATGAAATACTCCAAGCACGGGATGATTGTTTCATACTATTATGAGATTCCTTAGAAATGCGAATTTATGATCCTGTATGCTGGATCAATTCATGATTGTAATAAAATTCAGTAGTCATAACTCTTTCGTGACATTATCAATAATACTTCGTTCTGATAAGAAATCTTTGAAGTTTTGATGAAAAGTTGTAACTAATCGAGCTAATCACTATCGAATGTGGTACATTTAGTTACAATACAAACTGGAGACACAATGTCGTGAACTGATTGAATTAAGATATTAACATTATTAAATGACGATATAGTAGTGTAGTAGTGGTTAAGTGTTTACACACCAAATCAAAAGTGTTGAATTCGATTGCTGTTAGTAAGGGACCGTGGATGAACACTATTGATGGGTCCAGTCCTAGAACGAAACGGCTACTCAATGCTTCTATATTGTAACAGTGATTAGTTCATGATATCAATGATATTATTAACTGAATTTCTTTCATCATTACTGATAAACCAATACATAGAAAGAAGTGAAATTTTCTTTTTGAGCAAACAAAATACTTACTTAAATCAATTAAATGAACACATCATTTTGATAATTTAACGGCGCCCCCCCCACACACACACACACAACTTCAATCTATAATTCTCTATGAATCACTTTTGATGAAGTGATAATGTAAAAACAATGTTAAACACTAATATACAACGTAGATGAATGTCATAAAATCGATTCATTAGTAATCATTTATACTGTTAATGATCATAATTCACAGTGTTATTAACTTATGGAAAAATAAATATGGTAACTAACTAATAAGTGTGGAATGTTTGTTTACTTGGTAACTCATTTAATTATCAGCTGATCATAACTTATTAATTAGATTCCTTTTTTGTTTGACAATTTTTTTTTTGAAAAAAAAGTAAAGAAAAGAAAGAAAAAGAAAACATCACTTCTATTTTTAATCATTCTACTGAATTCAATTATCAAGATCAAAAAAAGTAATCTATACTAGTAATTTGTTTAAGCCAAGATGAATAGTGGAATTCAGGAAGCGCGATACATCGTCCTATTTAGGACTTGTCAATTGGATGCACTTACATCTCAGAGTGGATGTTCATTCTGGGACTCGAACCCGGCACCGTTCGCCTTAAATGTCATCGCATCATCCACTTGTTTATGCAATGAGGTGAAGATTAAATCCAGTTCGTGTTACTTTACTTGTATCTTCACATTGCTATTTATGACTCGATAGCTAAGTGAATAACGCGATGGTGTTTAAAGCGAATGGTATTCGGTTCGAGCCCCAGAGTAAACATCAACTTTGAGATATAGGTACATCCACCTGACGATTCCAAAATAGGACAAAACGTGCATTAAATTGGATTCCACTGATAGCTATTATCCATCATTGCTTAATAAGCTTGTAATTTAAGTCTATATTGATGCAATCCGTACAGGATTCACATATGCCAACATGAGACTGATCAATTACAGCCTTAAATAACAATATCAAAATAATCAGAATGAGCATTTATGAAGATTTCAGTAAATTTTGCATTCTACTTGCAAGATCGTGAATGTGAACTGCTCAAGAGTTCAATACTAGAACGAAACGGACGTTCAGTGTTTTCAGGTTTTTTTTAAAGAGAACAAGAACAATGATTGATGCAGAATAATAAATGAATTCATTTTATTTCGTTAGGTTCTCATCAGCTGCTTACAACCTAAATTATTTGAAATTTTATGTTATTATAGATATTGACAATACTTATACATCAGAGGGTGATAAAGGATGAATATATGTGTATCATGATGTAGCCAAGATTTCGTTAGAGTTAATGAGGTCATAAAATTATTGGTTTCGAATATATAGAGTTTGAGAGGGAAGGTTCCAGAACATTGAAATGGTGATTAGAAATCATGGAATTAAAAAACCACGCTAAATGATTAAACAATGAAGTAACTGAAAATCGATTAATGATGTAATTATAAAATGACGTAATATATTAAAGGGGAGGGGTAATATTACCAGAACATTAATATTAATAATATTATCAGAATGTGTTTCGGGAAGATTTTTTAGAAATTTTCACAGATTGAAATCATGAGTCAGTTGAAGCTAGACCACCATTGAAAACCTGGAAGCACTGGACGGCCGTTTCATCCTGGTATGGGACTCCTCAGCAGTACGCATCCACGAACCCGCACCACCCGGGGCTCGAACCCAGGACCTACTGGCTTCGCGCGCGAGCACTTAACCATTAGATCACTGAGCCGGCATACAACGGTGTGAATGTCTAACTTCAACCAATCCACGAAGTTGCACTACCGTACACCATTGTCTTCAGTGAGTTCCTATCTCACAACAGACCTGGTTGAACTCCACTGGTAACGACTTCTCACTAGAACTACAGAAGTGTCTCCTGAATAATGATAATAACACAAAACAATAATTACATATTTTTAATGGTTAAATTCATGAATCGATCTAAGCTAGACCCATCATTGAAAGGTTGGAACAGTCGTTTCATCCTACTATAGAACTCCTGAACAGTTGCACATTCACGACCTTGAAAATGGGACATGAAATTTACTAAAATCTCCTATAAATCCTTATTCTGATTGTTCCATTTTAAAAAAATCTTAATAAATATAGAATTGTGGAGATTGTAGAATTTTAATTGAGATCATTAACTAATCCATATTAGACCATTATTGAAAATCTAAAAGTATTGAAGGAATACAATGCTGAAAAGTACCATATTAAGTCAAGATGACCGTTTGGTGCTTTCAGAATTTCTAAATAGTATAATATTGTTAAACTATTTACAAATTTTATAGGAAAAGTTGATATAACTTACCAAAGTACTTAACAATACAGAATACAAATTTCCTGATGTATATCTGTCTTGAAAATCTTAATCAGTCTTTCTAGATAGTTGGTTATGATTGTAAATTTATTCTTATTCATTAGTAAAATAATGAATAGACAGTAACTGATCTATTACCTCTTTGTATATAATACTTATTTGATTAGTTACATGAATAATTACCATGGTTTCTTAACTTATATCTTGTTTAAAACTGTTAACTTAATAAACCAATTACTTAGTAATTTTGTTATGAATGAGAATACAGGTGGAAATAACTAATTGTATTTCTCAGAAGGGGTTTGTGGAGATTTTAGGAGTTTTCACAGATTGAAATCATGAGTCAGTTGAAGCTAGACCACCACTCAAAACGTGGAAGTACTGGACGGCCGTTTCGTCCTAGTATGGGACTCCTCAGCAGTGCGCATCCACGATCCCGGCTAAGTGGTCTAATGGTTAAGTGCTCGCGCGCGAAGCCAGTAGGTCCTGGGTTCGAACCCCGTGGGTGCGGGATCGTGGATGTGCACTGCTGAGGAGTCCCACACTAAGACGAAACGGCCGTCCAGTGCTTCCAGGTTTTCCATGGTGGTCTTACTTCAACAGACTCATGATCTTAACCATAAATTTATGTATACAATTATTACTTATATTATATAATATCAATATATATATATGTATATTTGTTTATTCTTTAATTCATCTTTTAGTGTAATATAAAAATGGATATTGATTGTTTCTCAGGGAGTTGCCATAATCATATTTTATTTTCCTTTATTTTTCCTAGACTACATATATATACGTAGATAGATAGATACATAGATAGATAGATAGTTTCCTTTTTACTCCTAATCGACTTAATGCATGGTTCTATTGAGTTACTATTAGCCTTATTATTATTTTAATTAGTTTATACTTATATTGTCTGTATATTACTTGTTGAATTGTTTTCCTTTTTTATTTGGTTGCTTGTATTATTGTTTTGTTTTTGTCTTTGTTTTTTCTTTTTTTTTGCTCTATTCTATTTGTATCTGT